TACCAGAATGGAAGGAAGCATTTGTTAACTATTGGCAGCTGAAGAAACAGATAAAGAGAATCAAGATGTCAAAAACTCCAAACCAAAACCACCACAATACAGATGGAAATTCCATTTTTGGTTCTATTTGCTTTATTGTTAAGAAAATCTCCCTCAATCTCTCACATCATTCGGACCATGATAACACCAACATCATTAAGGTATATTTTTTTTATTGTTTTTTTATCATTCTTTCTTTTGTTAGTGCTTTCTGTAGGCTTCCTCCATGTTGGAAACACAGTCATACGTTAGCATTTGAACCATAGCTTGATAACTGGTACTGATGTTGAATAAGATAATTTGCATCCAATTATTGCAATGAGATTATTGAACTATACACAATAAATTAGAATGAATGAATATAGACAAGATCGTTATCATTATAGAGTAATTCAAGGAGGTGTGTTCGAAAACTAATTGAGTTTCTATTATTGTTAAAAAAGTGAAAAAATTAAAATAAAACATATTTTAGTTAAACCATGGATTTTTTTTTTTTAATTCATAGTACCACCAATCATTATCATGGTTTTATAATGAATGTCATTTTCACTAATTTCATAAACATTAAAAATTTATTATAAATAAAATTTTAAAATATAGTAATTTTACAAAAAAAATACACATTATTTTACCGAAAAAATAATAATAATACACATTAAATATTGGTGTGTTTTCTCATTATTTTAAATGTAAACTTAACAAAAAATTAATATTACACTACAATTTGTAAATAATATTCATATTAATTTTTTTTTCTTTTTTGTAAAAGAGATGGAGTGTGAAGAAATTGTTCAATTAGGAGTATCGTTTTTTTTTCATATGTGCATGCATCATGTACATTAATTTAAATGCTTTATAAGGTGTGGTTAATGATCGTCCAACTAAAGTGAGTTTAGTGGCCTCCCTTTTTATTGAAAACCTTTGTTGCTTTTTTTTTTTAAGAAGTAAAAAATATGTGTAACACTAAATAAAAAACAGTAATGAATATATTTTTATACGTGCAGGTGAGGAAGAAAACTATACAAGACAGTGGAGAAGAGATATACCAAACCGAGCTTGTACAACTGTTTTCTGAAGAGGATGAGGTTTGTTTCATAATTATTTAGATTTAAATCAACAAATATATGAGAAATAATATTTTTAATATTCTTAATATTTTTTTTGTACTTGTCACTTTTCACAGGTACGTGTGTTTTTTCTGAAGCTTGATGAAGAGTTAAATAAGGTGAATCAATTTTACATGAAGCAAGAGAGTGAATTTCTTGAGAGAGGAGAGACCTTGAACAAACAACTTCAAATTTTACTAGACCTAAAGAAAATAATCAACGACCGGGAACGGAAAAATTATCCAACTACAAAGACGAATAATGCTGAGACTTTCCCTCGTTCTCCGACAAGAGATTCTAATTACTCAGGTTAGATCGGTTAGACTGTCAATTAATTATAATCGTTAAATATTAAAATGTTTGATATTCTTTATAATTATTTATTTTTACAGAAAGTTTGGGAGATTCAGACGACATGAATTCAGAAATTTCCCATACCGATGAGGTAATAGCGAGTTTAGAAAAGAATGGTGTAAATTTTGTGAATTCAGCAACTAGAACAAAAACAAAGAAGGGAAAGCCTAAAATGGCAATGAGAATCGACACTCCAGCGACCAACGCAACTCGAGCGATTACAGCAATTACTAGCATGCTTTGGGAGGATCTTGTGAACAATCCAAGTGGAGATTTCATTCATAAGAAAAAAATTCAATGTGCTGAAAAAATGATCAGAAGTGCATTTGTTGAACTCTACAGAGGCCTTGGTTTACTCAAAACATACAGGTATAACTTTTAATATGATATCAAAAACAATAAATATAAGAAATTTTGGAAAGTTCAAATACAACAAAACTTTTAAAAATAGCATGTGATATGTGATGTATTTAGGTTTTGTTCCCATTCTATAAGCAAATATTTTTAGATTATGCAAATTCTAATCCTATTCTCTTTTTTTGGCAGCACACTTAATATGGTGGCATTTTCTAAAATACTTAAGAAATTTGATAAGGTAAGGGTTAGTTAGAATAATATATATTTTCTTAATATATACATATAATTTACTATGGGATGAGTCATAAGTGCATGCTAAAGTTACTATTTGAAGATAAATACTTATGGCTATAGTATTATTTAGTCATAGAAATTAGCTTAAATTTCAATGCTTACTTTAGCTAATGGATATATGATCAAGCAGGTGTCCTGTCAAAAAGCTTCATCAAATTATTTACAAGAAGTGAAGAGATCTCATTTTGTTAGTTCTGATAAGGTATATACTTTTAAATACTCCCTCTAATATATGTTATTAAATATGCAAGGAAAAAAAAAAAGAAGCCAAAGAAGATAAATAATATGACATTTATTTTAGTTACTTAAGATTTTGGTGTTCACAAATTCCTAATAGTGTGTATAATGGTTATAGTAGTATTCTAATATATTTGTTATAATTATATTTAAGGTGGTTAGATTAATGGATGAAGTGGAGTTTATATTCACAAGGCACTTCGCCAACAATGACAGGAAAAGAGCAATGAAGTTTTTAAGACCTAAACAAAATAAAGATTCACACATGGTCACCTTTCTTGTCGGTAATGAGTCAAATTTTGTATGGTTGAAAATATGATATACTACCAAATAAAGTTTTTTCTTTACTACTTGTCTCTCTACGCAGGTTTATCTACGGGTTGTTTTGTGTCATTGTTTTGTGTATACGCAATTTTGGCTCATTTGTGCTCAATATTCTCTCCTAATTATGAGTCAGCTTATATGGAAAATGTCTATCCTGTTTTCAGGTACAAAATAATTTTATAATGAACTTTTAATGGATTATTACAAAGTTTTATCTTTCTTCAATTGATTAGTCTTTATAATTATAAACCATGATACTTACTAATGTGCTAATAGTTATAGTGATTTTGTGCAGTGTGTTTGCATTGTTAAGTCTGCACATGTTTATGTATGGATGTAATCTATATGCGTGGAAGAGAACCAGAATCAATTATAACTTTATATTTGAATTCTCTCCAAAGACATCACTTAAACATATAGATGCATTTTTGATATGCACTACTTTAATGACAACTGTGGTTGGAGCAATGGTTGTGCATCTTCTTTTAAGAGCGGCAGGATTTCCTCCTAGCCAAATTGATGCACTTCCCGGAATTTTACTCATGGTTAGTAGAAACTAACCACTATTTTGAACAATTTGAAAATGTTTACAAAAAGTGATCTATAATATCAGTCTTGTTATTTAACTTTTAAAGTACATTTTAAACACATTTGTGCTAACTGAATTGCAATTTTTCAGATTTTCATAACTTTGCTCTTTTGGCCGCTTGATGTTTTTTATCGTCCCACACGTTATTGTTTCATCCGTGTTATTCGCAATATAATATGCTCTCCATTTTATAAGGTAAATATCAATCTCGATTAATTCTAAAATAAAATCAGATACATTCTAATAGCATTATTAATTTAATTTTCATCTATCATTTCAACAGGTTCTGTTAGTAGATTTTTTTATGGCTGACCAACTAACTAGCCAGGTGATTATAGTTTTTCTTGTATTTTTCACCTCTATTTATTATATATCTTAATCACTAACATTAAATTTTGTGTTATGGTTATGGTTATGGATAAAGATTCCATTGCTAAGGCATTTGGAGACTACAGGTTGTAACCTTTCGAGTAAAGTTTTCAAAACACACCACCCGGAAACATGTCATTCTGGAAGATTATATCTGGAATTTACTTATTTAATCTCATTTTTGCCATATTTTTGGCGTGTTATGCAAGTAAGTATATTGAAATTACCATTTAAAGCTTTTGTTATTGACAACTACTAAACATTCTTGTTAAATTTCGTTACAAGTGTGCAAGAAGGTGGTATGACGATCACGATGTGAATCATTTGGCTAATTTGGGAAAATATGTTTCGGCGATAGTGGCAGCAGGGGCTAGAGTAACATACAATAGACAAAAGGATCATCTATGGTTTGCAATAGTCTTGATTACTTCTGTGGTGGCAACAATTTATCAACTGTATTGGGATTTTATCAAGGATTGGGGATTCTTAAATCCTAATTCCAGAAATCCGTGGCTTAGAGATGATCTGGTTTTGAAGAGAAAAAGCATATACTATATGTCAATTGTAAGTTTTCTCTACCTCTTTGTAATCTGATGAATGTAAAATCAATTATAAGATTTTTAATATTATAAAGTGATAATGTATTGCAGGGCTTAAACATTGTTTTGAGAGTGACATGGGTGGAGACTGTCATGCCTTTTAAAGTCGGGCCTGTTGAATCGCGAATGCTAGAATTCTTGTTGGCAGCACTTGAAGTTATCCGAAGAGGGCATTGGAACTTCTACAGGTGAGTTTAATCATATAAACTTTTTCAAATTCTTAATAATCGGTCCTCGAAAATTGGTAAATCAAGAAACTTTGTTTGCACAGGTTGGAAAATGAGCATCTAAATAACGTTGGCCATTACCGAGCAGTGAAGACCGTACCATTACCATTTCGTGAGACAGATTCTGATTATTGAGGAGAAATTTCTACATAGATGATCCAGAAAACAAAATGAGTAATTTCTTATTGAGGAGAAATCGTTCCTTTACTTGAGCTGAATTTTTAATTAAGTGATTTTGTATGAGCTTTTGCTTTTATGGCAGTATATAAAATTGTTAGGCTAATAGAGCTCTCTCCCTAAAAGAGTAAAATTCATTCAAAAGCATTTAATTATGAGTGCTTAGAGTATACTAAGCTTGCAATTTATCAAAAATAAAAATAGTAAATACTCATCTTCTGTATTCTAAATACTCATCACTCATGCACTTATTGAAAACAACAAAGAAACAACTTTCAAAAACCTTGCAATATCATAAACAATACAATTGGACTAAGAAAAGAAATTCTTAAACTTTTATACTACTTGCAATTCTCTTGGCAACACAATATGCAATAGATTCAACAGTTATCATGGGATTGACTCCAATTGCAGTTGGAAGCAAACTTGCATCACACACAAATAGTCCTTCAGCTTCCCAACTCTCTCCATTTTCGTCGACCGCGCCTTCCGTTTCGGTCATTCCCATCCTACAACTTCCCATCTGGTGAGCAGATGCATACATACTCCATCTTTCTTCATGTGACATTGGCCCTCCTGTCGCGCATATTGCTTCCACAAATTTTTTCAATTCTTTCTCATTAGTTCCGCTGCAAACAATTCTCTCTCCATTTTTGTGAGTTCCTACTTCAACCGCTCCAGCCGCTATTAGAATCCTCAGCGCCCGCTGCAGTCCATGCTTCATGTTCTCTTTGTCGAACTCTTCGTCTAACTCGTACTTTATCCTACCCTCGGTCCTAACCTCTCCGCAGCCTCTGTCCTTAATAATTGTGATCAAGTGAACGGTTCTTGAATATCTTAGCATTCTTTCTTTGAAGTCAAATCCAGATTCCCAAGGAAACAAGGTAGAAAAAACTCCCGGCGCTAGTGCTGGAGTTTCAATTATAGCTTTTACCTTGGATTCGTCTTCTTTCGATAACACTTTGTGTACAGAAGTTATTATTCCTCCCTCAAAGCTTTTACCCTTGAGATCGGACAGCGAGTTTGGAAAATGTCCCCACGTCATTAGCACCGGATGAAGATGAAGGTTTCGGCCGATGTTCTTATTCTTTAGTCCACTAGAGACCATTAAAGGTGGCGTGGAAATTGCTCCGCAGGACGAGATTGTTGCCTTGGCCTCAACTTGAATTCGCCATGTGATGTTTTCTGTTAAAACATTGGCCATAACTCCTAAGCATTTCTTTCTTCTCATACCTCCTTCTTTGTTATTTACCAAGATAAAATTTTCAGCTTTGCATCTTGTTAGTATTACAGCACCATGTTCCACGGCATCGACAAGCCACGTAACATCAGTCCCTTGTTTATCTCCCTTTCTACAGCCATAGTTACATGATCCACAGTAATGATGTTGTGACGAATTTCTCGGCACATAATCAACTTGAAGACCGAGATTCTTACAGCCTTTTCGGAGAACTTGATTCTGTAGTCCTTCCTCGACGCAAGTATCCGTTACGCCGATCCTTTTACACACGATGTCCATGGAAGAAACATATTCAGAGCTTGAAAAGAGTGATAGGTTATGATTCTCTGACCAGTCCTTGAGAACATAATCCGGTGTTCTAATGCACGCGGACCAATTAACAGCAGAACCTCCACCAACCGTTGTACCTGCTAGAATAGCAATTTTCCCATCCAAAGATGAACAAGTTCCTCCTGATTCATAAAGCTCATTCATAGAAGGACCTTCTAGAGAAGAATAATCTCTTGGAGTAAAGTAGTTACCCTTCTCAAGAACAAGAACCTTAAGGCCTGAACTTGCAAGAACAGCAGCTGCAACTCCTCCACCGCAACCAGAACCGACGATCACCACATCGCATTTCACTTTGAGGATGTTGTTTTTAGAATCTATTTCAATTTCAAGACCTTTCTTTGAAAGAGATTGCGGCAAACTCACACTATCTTCATTCATAGCTTCGACTATTCCCTTTTCAAGTGGCCTCTCGTTGCAAATATCGTTTGCGTTTTCATGATTATCGACACGATAACCGATAGCTTCCCATGCAAGGTTCTCACCATTCTCATTACACTGCATGCAAACCAATCAAGTAAAGTGAATATTCAATCACACACACAAGAAACAATAACATATAAAGAATGCGACGTTACCTGAGAGAAGAACACGATGACTAAAAAGATTTTGATGGAAAGAAATGCAAGTCTAACAGGTGTCAAGAAGCGATGCTTGAACCATTTCTGAAGAACAATTTCTCGGTTTTGCAAAGAAATATTTGAGAAAGTGTTGATGAAAGGCCATTTCTTAGTGTGACAAAGAGATCCACATAGCAACAAAGTGCCAAACCTTGTTGATAGCATCCATAGAATCACTCTAACGATTGTAAATGCTTCTGGTAGTGCTCTCTCAGCTATCATCTCTGCAACCTATATATGCACATAACAACTATATTGTTCATCCCTTCCACTTCTACAAAACTCATCTATTTATTTTTATGATATTAATCCAAGAGAAGTTAATGCAAACCAGAACTAGTTTGTTTTAGCTTTTTGTAAAAATATTTTTATAGCATTATATATTTTTGTTTCTAAAGAAATTTACAATTTAAAAAAAAATTCAAATAAAAAAGTAGTTTACATAATTTTTTTTATAAAATGTTATTTTAAATATTTTATTTTTGTTATAAATGTTTTTGAATATCAAAATTTTAAAAATCACTTAAATTTAAAGTTATTTTAAATGATTTTTCATTAAAAACATTTGAAAAATATTGTGATTTTGAGTATGTTTTAATTTTCAATAATAAATATTTATGCTATTAAATGTTAAAATTATTCTTTAAATCCATAAAAAAAAATCAACTAAAAAATTTTTCTTAATTTAAAATTTATTTTTATCAAATCATTTTTTTAAAGGTAAGAAAAATAAATAAATTAATCTATATATATATATATATATATATATATATATATATATATATATATATATATATATATATATATATATATATATATATATATATATATATATATATATATATATATATATATATATATATATATATATATATATATATATATATATATATATATATATATATATATATATTGAATTGTCAATCTAGTCTTTGACTCGCCATTTAAATTGATCCCTGAATGTACAAATATTTTGAAAAAGTGTTTGACTATGTAATCAATTACTATCAATTTAGCATCTCAAATCAATATCGAGATATTAATTAACATAAATAAGATCTAATAGAGTTAGAGGTTATTTGAAATATGTACACACTCAATGTGAAATTTGATAAGTGAGTTTAGATAAATAAAAAATGAGATTAGTGTTAGTTGGTTAATTCTTGTTATATAGTTATTTGGACTTTTAGTATGTAATCGGGCCTGGGCATTTTTGCCTATATAAAGGGCATTGTGTTTGTGTTAGATAGTTAGTTACACATAACTAACTCATCATTCTCTCTCTCTCTCTCTCTCTCTCTCTCTCTCTCTCTCTCTCTCTCTCTCTCTCTCTCTCTCTCTCTCTCTCTCTTCTTCTTCTTATTCTTCTTGTTTTCACAAAATCATCTTTCTTGAATCCTTTGTTCCAACAAATTGGTATCAAGAGCTTGTTTGCGATTCAGAGAGAATCTAATGGCAAACAAAACAACAACATCAACACAGTTTCCAGCAAATCTACTGGTTTTCAAAGGTGAAAACTATCAACGATGGGTGGCACAAATGAAGGTTATTTTCAGATTTCAAGATGTTGTAGAAATCTTGAATGATGGAATTTCAGAACTGGAAGTAGATGCAACAGAAGTCCAGAAAATTGCGCACAAAGATCGGAGGAAGAAAGATGGCAAGGCGCTAATCTTCATTCACCAATGTGTAGATTGTGATGTATTTGAGAAGATAATTGAAGAAGAAACAACAAGAGGAGCCTGGGAAAAGCTAAAATCCTTGTATGGTGGAGATGAGAAACTGAAGAAGGTGAAGTTGCAGACTTTGAGGAAGCAGTATGAGATGCTTTAGATGAAAGAGGATGAATCTATTTCTGCATATTTCTCAAGAGTTGTGGCGCTAACAAACCAGATGAAGGCGTGTGTTGAAGCGCTAACAGATCTGCAAAAGATAGAAAAGGTATTGAGATCTTTAATTGCAGACTTTGATTACTTTGTTGTAACAATTGAAGAGGCCAAGAATCTATCTGAGATGAAGTTGGAAGAACTTAAAGCTTCATTGGAGGCTCACAAAATGAGGCGGTAGTAGAGAAACTCAGAAAGAGATAAGACATCTGAACATGCATTGCAATCAAGATTCAGCAAGAAAGCTGAAAAAGAGAAGTCGAAGCAGCGAAAGAATCTTGATGGTGATGAGAAGTCAAGCAAAAATACTAATTCGAAAGGTGTGGGCAACAAGTATTCTGGGAAGAAAGTTGACACGAAAGAGGTGCAATGTTACAATTGTCAAGGTTTTGGTCACTATGCTAGAGACTGTCGAAGAAAGAAAGCTACGAAGTCGAAAGATAGTGATGAAGCTCAATATGAACGAGCTGGAAGTAGTGACTCTGATGATGGGTTGTTGCTGGTGAACACACAGTCGAATACTGAGAAAAACAACATGTGGTATCTGGATTCAGGATGTAGCAACCACATGACTGGAAATAAAAACGGGTTTACCAAGTTAGATGAGTCAGTCGAAAAGGTAATAAAGTTTGCAGATGGTAGGCATATCAAGTCAGGTGGTAAAGGAGATATTTCGATTATCATGAAGGATGGCCGAAAGGCTACTATCACTGAAGTTCTATATGTACCTTCGATGACAAGTAACTTGATAAGTGTAGGTCAATTACTTGCAAAAGGCTTCAATATGAAGTTGGAGAATAATCAGATGAAGGTATATAGGGCTTATGGGAGGCTAATAATGAAAGCACCATTGGCGGAGAACAAAACGTTCAGGGTTGAACTCAACACATCAGATCACAAATGTCTTGCTTCGACTACATAAGAAGGCAAGAACTGGCTATGGCATCACAAGTATGGACATCTAAACTTCAAGAGTTTATGTATGCTCAATAAGAAAAGAATTGTGTTTGGGTTGCCGTATGTGAAGGAACCAAAGCAGATATGTGAGGAATGTTGCAAAGCTAAGCAGGCAAGGAAGGCGTTCAAACGTGATTTTCCTATAAGATCAAGGCAAAAACTGGAGCTGGTTCATTCAGATGTGTTTGGACCCTTTGAAGTAAAGTCCAATGGAGGTAACATGTATTTCCTTACTTTCATTGATGAATTCACCAGACATATGTGGATTTACCTTATTGAGAGGAAGAGTGAGGTATTCACATAGTTCAAGAAGTTCAAGTTGCATGTTGAGAAACAAAGTGGCTGCAAATTGAAGAAGTTAAGAACTGATGGTGGTGATGAATATACTTCTGCTGAATTTGCTAGACTTTGCAATGAGGAAGGTATAGAGCATGAGGTTATTGCACCCTATACGCCTCAACATAATGGCATATCTGAGATAAATAATAGAAGTGTACTGAACATGACAAGATGTATGTTGAAAGCTAAGAATATGCCTAAGAGATAGATATTTTGGGCTAAAGCAGCTTCGACAGCAGTATACATTCTAAATAGATGCCCAACGAAGAAGATGGTCGAAAAGACATCACATGAGGCTTGGACAGGGTCGAAGCCAAATGTAAGTCATCTTAGAATTTTTGGATCAATGTGTTTCAGGCATGTACCTGAACAATTGAGAAAGAAGTTGGATGATCGAAGTGAAGTCATGGTGCTCGTAGGTTATCATTCGACCGGTGTATAGAAGTTGTATTCACCAATTGAAGATAAACTAGTTATCAATAAAGATGTTCTTGTAGAAGAAAACAGAGGATGAGATTGGATTCGAAGTTCAGTTCGACAAGAATCAGACACAGTCACAACTGTGTTTGAAGAAGATGAACAGAACGAAGCTTCAACAAGTCGAAATGAAGAACCACCTATGCAAAATGAAAGAAGATCCACAAGAACAAGAACTGAGTCGACAAGGCTGATTGGATATGTGAGGTTTTCAGATCAAGCAATCGATGCAGATGGTGACTTAATCGAAGAAGCCATGATGATGACTGAAGCAGAACCAATTGATTTGGGTGAAGCTTTGAGCAATTCAAATTGGTGTGAATCTATGAAAGAAGAACTTAGAGACATTGAGAAGAACAAGACTTGGGAGCTTGTCGAAAGAATCAACAAGAAACCAATTGATGTGAAATGGATCTACAAGGTGAAACGAAGGCCAAATGGAGAGATTGCAAAGTATAAGGCAATACTAGTGGCCAGAGGTTTTCTACAAAAATCTGGTATTGACTTCGATGAAGTATATGCACCTGTTGCTAGGATCGAAACAATCAGGATTGTTGTTTTGATAGCTGCATGTAGAGGATGGAAAATGCACCAACTTGATGTGAAGTCAGCATTTTTGAATGGTCCATTGGAAGAAGAAGTCTACGTTACTCAACCACCAGGTTTCGACATCAAGGGGTAGGAGTCGAAAGTTTATAGATTAAAGAAGGCTCTCCATGGCTTGAAGCAAGCTCCTAGAGCTTGGAATAAAATGATAGATAGCTTTCCAATCGAAACAGGTTTCACAAAGTGTGTCTCTGAACATGGAGTGTATGTAAATGATGTCGAAAGTTTCAATCGAATTATTTTGTGCCTCTATATTGATGACTTACTCATTACAGGAGCAGACGAAGCTGAGATAATGAAGGTAAAGTCAAGGTTAATGCAAGAATTCAAAATGTATGATTTAGGGAATCTCTCCTATTTCCTGGGAATGGAATTCAAAGACGTCGAAGAAAGAGTTTTCTTGTATCAAACGAAGTATGCTCAAGATATACTGAAGAGGTTCAATAAGAGCAAATGTAAGGCAGTTGTTACTCCATTAGAGACTGGAGCAAAGCTGAAGAAGGAATAGAATGATGAGTTTGTAAGTTCGATCATTTAGAAACAAATCATTGGATGCTTGAGGTATCTTTGCAATACTAGACCAGATATCTGCCAAAGTGTAGGATTGTTAAGTAGATTTATGGAGAAGCCTCAGGAATGTCATCTCATCGCAGTGAAAAGGGTGTTGAGATACATAAAGGGAACTATTGGTCATGGTGTGCTGTTACCAAAGAAGTCGAAGAACAATACAGATGTCGAAGTTCATGGATACACTGACTCAGACTTCAGTGGAGATCAAGACGAAAGGAAGAGTATTGCAGGCTACATTTTCATGATCGAATGAGCTCCAATCTCCTGGAGTTCGAGGAAGCAAAGCATTGTGGCTTTGTCATCGTGCGAAGTAGAATATGTGGCTGCATCATATGCTGCATGCCAAGCAGCATGGATCGAAATGCTACTTCAAGAACTCAGAATAACGGAATCGAAGATGAAGTTGTTTGTTGATAATAAGTCAGCTATAAACTTTTCGAATCACCCAATGTGTCATGGTCGAAGTAAGCACATTGAAAGAAGGTATCATTGTCTGAGGAATCAAGTCAGCAAAGGGAAGCTTGAAATAAAACATTGCAAGACAGAAGTGCAACTAGCTGACATATTCACCAAATCTCTGAAAAAAGTAAGGTTCGAAGAGTTAAAGAAAGACATTGGGATGAGAAGTCTTGATAACATGAATTAGGGGGTGTGTTAGTTGGTTAATTCTTGTTATGTAGTTATTTGGGCTTTTAACATTTAATTGGGTCTGGGTATTTTTCCTATATAAAAGGCATTGTCTTTGTGCAGTAAATATAATAACAAATCAGTTAGATAGTTAATTACACATAACTAACTCATCATTCTCTCTCTCTCTCTCTTCTTCTTCTTCTTTTCACGAAATCATATTTCTTGAATTCTTGAATCCTTTATTCCAATAAATAGTTTACCAATTTACTCAATGCATAATATTAAAGTGAAATTTGAACACACATAAATAAGAACAAATTTGAAGCCACCACTTATATGATGTTTTCTTATCATCCCAAGTTCATCCATATTAATCTTAGAATTGATTTGTTTCATCATTTTCTTAGAATGGTGATTTCACATTATTTTCAAACATAGTATTAGGAAACTCAATATTATGGGACATGAGCTTCTGGACTCTTTATATTAAATTTCTTTTCTTAAAAGCATTTGTTAAACCTTTGTATAAATAAACATTATCTCTAATTTCGTGTATGCATGTATCTAAAACTATACATTAGTTATCATGAAAGTCTGACAGGTCAACTGGGCAGTGGATTGGGTTATCTTTGATTGACTTTGGTTTCATCAACAAAAAAACAATAAATAAATAAATAAATAAATACTATATAAATAGACATTTTAATTTTGACACAATAAAGTTAGAGAGTAGTATAATACCTCTTGAGGGATAGAGAAATCAGAGCCAGAAGCTTCCCAGAACTTCATAGCCTTGTTTGTTGGTTGAATTCCTTTGATGTTCAAAAATTGAGTGTCAAGAGGAGGCAACAAAGCTTCACATATGCTTGCAAGTGATTTCATCTCATCTGAAGAAAAAGGATTTCTATATTTCTCTCTCCTTCTTCCACCTCTCAATAGAGGATGAAAATCAACACCTCTCTCCATTTTTCTCTTTCAATTAATTTGGTAATTGGATTGTTGTCCACTCATGTCTATATATATACTAGTAAGTAGACTGCATGTTGTTTTTGTATATGTAATCAAAGACATGTGTGCAAACCATGACAGTGCACATACTTTATTGTGTACACTTCATAGCCTTTACTTTTAGATTTTTTTTTGCCAAGTGGGATGACCCTACCTCACAACTATATACAACAAAAACTTCATTTGGAAGAAAATGAGGTATGGCTAGACTAATTAATACTAATAAGTTTTGGACTTAGATTAAATATATTTATTAATATGAGAGTCTACAATCTTATTATTTTTAATAAATTTTAATATAATGTTAAATCTTAAATTATTATTTCAATATAAATTTTAACATAATTTTAAAATCTAATTTCAAATATTCATAATTTTAAAATTTGATTCATAACTCTAAATCAAATAAGTTAGTGAAAGAAGGTCTTTCTATTTAAAAAAGAGAGAATATCATCGTCACATTATCACTCTCATGTCACCGTATAAAAACAAGTATATCATATATAGAAAGTTTAGGTATAATTGAATATGCGGGTTAGTCATCCTCTTTAATCTATTTCGCATAAATTTAGCATATTAAACAGTTTGAGTTGGCCCGTCTTTAATTATTAAAGGATTGTGATACGCTAGCTCGAGTTTGATCTGCGTTAGTTCGCGGATGACTTATGGATCTTAACAAAATTATTAAAAAAAATTTATTAAAAATACTAATCTTAAAAATCTTAAAAGATACTTATCTTTTTTTTTAAAAATATACTTCAAATCTATTATTTGTGTAATTTATGTATCCAGTAGTTATATTTTTCAAGGGTAAAATTTATCGTGGACAAAATTAAAAAGGATAAGTGTAATTAATTTTTTTACTGGTTAAAAGTACAAGTGTGTGTGTGTGTGTGTTATTCTGCAAGTGCAGAGAGATTCAGAAGTCTTGGTGGATTTATAATATTGTATGGTGATTAAGGCTTTCCGACGACGGTGAGAATTCATGTACGGTGGTCTTTTACAGTGGATGTATGAATCCTACTCATGTGAGGTGAGATACTATGTAGAGGAATTATGTTCTTAGGTATAAGCTTCTGAGGGATGTGATCATATGAGTGAAGATATTGCTAACCGCTATGTTTTATGGTGTAGTGAATCGTATGGCTTAATATCTATCTTTTCTCCCCTTGAGGGAAGATATATTTATAGAGGCATTTAGGGCCTAGGATTCACTTAGGAAGGGTCACCGCCCACTCAATTAATGGTGGACCACTGAATCCCTATTTTCCAAGAAGTTATGGGTCAATTATTGACCTTGACTTCTCTCTGTCCCATAAACGTCTTATCCTACATTTCCCATAATTGGCCGATAAGAAAGTTCTGGGGCGAGTTGATACCTCCCTTTGGACGACATTCCAATGATGCCTCTTATTGGGTTGTCTAAAGGCATGGATCTAGGCGAGGCACTTTACAATTATAACACAATATAGTCCTTCAAGTACGGGGCATTTGATAGAAGACAAAATGCGTTTAGACCGCAAGTTTAGAGAGTATCCTGAGAACTTGCACTTCCTTTAGTGATGCCTAAGTTATCCTGGGAAATTTGAGTTCTTTGGTCGCACTAATGTGTAACCTGACTGAGGAGACATTAAGTCCATCAGGTACAATAGTAAGTTGACTCTCATGTGAGACTTTTATCGAGCCCTCGGGTAATAATTGTGATCATGTTTCTCAGGATGGATATTGGTCGCGCCTCTTAGGCATGATTCTTAAGTCTGGTCCCGCCCGAAGAGATAATTTGTCCCTCGGGAGAAAGTTTAGTTAGCCAAGAGGATTTAAGTTCCTCAGGCAGAATTATATATATCCCGAATGATGAGACTATAAGTCCCTCAGATGAGGTGTTCGACCTTCTTGGGCGGGACTTTTATCCAACCTCACACAAGACTTGTGATCAATTCTCTCAAGCTGAATATTTTTGTGCCTCTTAGGCGTAATTCTTAAGTCTGGTCCTTCCCGATGAGACACTAAGTCCCTCTGGAGAAAGTTTAATTAACTTATTTGTATTGTCCAGTAGGGCGACAAGAATCTTTGTCATGAAGTCCAACATATAAGTTATTTCCTCAAGGGGAAACAATGATCTTCGTCATGAAGTTCAACATAAGGAATGTTGTCTCAAGGGACAACAAGGATCTTCGTCATGAAATCTAGCATAAGGAATGTTACCTCAAGGGGCGGCAAGTATCTTGGTCATGAAGTCCAGAATAACGAATGTTTCCTCGAGGGGCGGCAATGATCTTCATCATGAAATTCAACATAAAGAATGTTGCCTCGATAGGAGGCAAGGATATTCGTCATAAAGTCCATCATATAAAACACTCAGAAGAAAACCTCTATTTGGAAATTAAACGGCTCAAGAATTGTTCATAGGTACATAGACATTATAATTATTGGAGAATTACAAATAATTTAACTATAATATATCTAAGGTGGAGAGCATTCCTAGTTCTGGGTAATAACGTTCCTTTCAATTCATGTAACGTGTTAGCTCAGTGAGGGATTTTTTTAAATATATGGTATAATCCCTCTCAATTAGGTTGTAGTTTTCCTTATTGTGCATGTAGAACCAATTCTTTCAAGACCGTGTCGCTTTATTGTATTTCTCTCGTATTGACTCTTGAATTATATCTTTTACCGGCCCTGTCTTTGGCAGCAAATTCTCGGACATGGGCGGCCTTCCTCAATTCATCGATCAGGTTATCTCTCACTTCAATCCAATCTCATTGCTTCTCATTAAATTGGGACCGTCACCACGAGGATGTGTCAATCTCCACAAGTAATGGAATACAGAGAGGTGTGGTGTGACCATAATATCTCAGGAAGTAGTTTCTCCCATAATCCCTTGGCATCGTCAAGCTTCTTATTAAGTCTCTTCAGAATTACTTTGTTTGTTAATTCGGCCTGATCGTTGGCTTGAGGTTGTACAACAAACATGAATTTTGTAAATTTGTACTTATAAGTGTTTGCAAAAGTCAGTGAACATAGTACCAGATAATTGGGTCCCATTATCAGAAAATGTCTCCAAGAAGTATGTATCTGCACGAACTCTTCTACCAATACATGTGGTACACTCTCTCCGTCGTAATTTTTACGATAGCCTCTACTTCTATCCATTTGGTGAATACTATTAGAAATTTCAGTTGGTCCAACGTCAAGGGGAATGGGCCCAGAATGTCCACGCCTCATTAAGCCCAGGGCAAAGTCATTCACTAAAGAAGCTTTGTCAAGTTGTGGTCAATGTCAACATGTCTCTTACATTGATTGCACCTCTTGATAAAAGCGGTGATATCTTTCATTAGGGTAGGCCAATAATACCCTGCCCTTAACAGTTTGTATGCAAGACCTTTTCCGCCAATATGGTTGTTGCATGCACCCTTGTGTACCTCCACAAGAACCAAGGTGGTTTCATGATCGTCCATACATCGCATCATGGGAGAAGCCCTCCCTATTTTATACAATTTCCCATAGAGCAATGTGCACTTGGAAGCACATTTTTCGGATCCTTCTTGATTCTCCCACATCTAGTGTAAGTTTGCAAGACTGTAGATAACACAGTATGGGTGACATCCAACTAAATATTGGGATAAATTTTGTGGTCTCGTCTACCTCAATGTTGGGGAGAGGCGAAGGTCCCTTGGATAACTATTTTTTTGAACCCCACCATCTTTGATGTGGCTAGCTTGGATAGAAGATCTTCGCTGAAGTTTTTCTCATGGCGAACATGCTTTTTTTCAAAGGAGGAGAAGAGAGAGAATAGATTTCGTACTTTTACATATATCTTATCAGTTGAGGCTCTTTGTATTGGTACTTCCTAGATACTTGGTTGGCAAACATATGGGAGTCACTTTTGGCCTTAAATCTGGAGGCTCTCAACATTAAGGCAAGGATCATTCTGGTGATGAGAGCCTTGTACTCTTCCTAGTTATTGTTGGTGGTGAACTCAAACTTTAAGGCTTGCTCGATGAGTATATATCCAGGTCCTTCTAGGACTATCCGGACACCACTCCCTTTTACATTGGAGGCGCCATTTATAGATAGTGCTTATCCTGGTGGTGTCTCCTCCTCTACGGGCGAGCTGAATTTTGCCACGAAGTTTTCTATAACTTGTAACATGAGGCCTCCCATCGGGACATATTGGATGTTGTATTCTGAGAGTACCCCCGCCCAGGATACTGTCATCTCTACTATATTGGGCTTCTTCAAAACTTTCCAAATATGATAGTTGGATTTTACTAGGATCTTATGACCCTAAAAGTATGGTCTCAGTTTCCTCGCTGCAACGATGATACCTAACGTTAGTTTCTCAATCTTTTGATAGAGTACTTCATCACCTCTGAACACATTGCTTATGAAATACACCGGTTTCTTCGCCCTGTCTATCTCCTAGGTAAGGACTGGGCTCATCGTATGATCTATGATCGTGAGGTAGAGGAGTAACGACGACACATCTCTCGGGCGAGTCATAATAGTGGGTTATGTGAGGAAATTATTGACCTTGGTGAAAGCCTTCTTGCATTAAAGTTTCCACTCAAACCTCTCATTCTTCTTTAAGGAGGCAAATAAGAGGGAGGTTTTGTCGCATGTGTAGGAAAGGAAGCGAGATAGGGCGGCGGAGAGACCTGTAAGTTGTTGCACTTCTTTTACATGAGTGAGGATCCTCATGGTGATAAATGATTGACACTTATCTAGGTTAGCCTCTACGCCCTTTAACATCAGCATGAAATTTAAGAGTTTCCCCGCCTAAACACCAAAAGTACACTTGGCAGGTTTTAGGCAAATATCATATCTCCTGACCGATTGTAGGACATCTCCAAAATATTCTGAATGGATGCTCCCTTCGATAGTATTAACTATCATTTCATCGATATATACTTCAAGGTTTTTCTCTACTTAGTGGGTGAAGACAACATCCATGAGCC